GTAGCTCACTGGGTAACACTGGGTAAGACACACTTACTAGGGCGGTGTGGTAGCTCACTGGGTAACACTGGGTAAGACACACTTACCGGGGCGGTGTGGTAGCTCACTGGGTAACACTGGGTAAGACACACTTACCGGGGCGGTGTGGTAGCTCACTGGGTAACACTGGGTAAGACACACTTACCGGGGCGGTGTGGTAGCTCACGGGGTAACATTTAGACATCATACAATGAAGGAAATAATTATTTGACCCCCCATTGATACCTCATCCATTTATAAAGAAATGGAAAACTAATGACTTTGTTCTAATAATGTGACATCGATAGACATTCCATACAATGACTATTGTATATTAAAAATGTTTCTTCTTCCCAAACTTTCCATTACCAATGAATGAATGTAGTTGATTTCAGGTAAGTAAGCAGCCTATTCAGAACAGATTTTTCAAAGCAAGTTACAGCCCTGTCAACGACGCACTGCACAGGACAGAAGTATATGGACTGGGTCCGCTTGTTGGTCCAGATAATCCCCTGTATTTCACTCGTGGCACCGGCTGTAACTTGATATGCAAAGTCAGCGTGAAGAGAAGGACATAGAGATGAACTACAGCAACACAGAGGCATGAAGGGCAATTTAAAGACTGTAATGAACTGCCAGCTGCCCAGTCCTGGTTGCCTTGTCCCCATCAGGCTGATGAGATGGAGGAGCACAGAGAAGCTTTGCTTCACCTCACAGAATGACCTGCTGCTTTGATCTCCTCTACAAAGCGATTGATGTGAGAAGCCCATGGCCCCACCCATCCCCCAAATGCCCCCCAGGGGTCATATTGCCCTGTGTCTGGCGGTCTAACACACACTTTCATCATTACTGAAGACGGGACAAGGCAGTGTGATGTTCCTATGACATTTCACACCTACCTTTTAAACCCGCTGCCCCCTGCCCCACATCACACAGCGGCTTTGAAGACCCTCTCGTACTTCCATGGGGATGGGGGGCTTTAAAAGCGACTCGGCGTCCCAGATCATTTAGACCTGCTACTGTGGCTGTTTGGCGACGTTAGAATTGAGGACGGATTTCAAAGCCTGAAATACAGATGGAAAAAGGCGTGAAGTGGCCCTGATCGCTGCTATCAGGTAAGGGAGTCCTATTCATGAAAGGATCTGAGCTGAGGGTGACTGCCGATTTATCTGCCGTCTTCTACCCTTTCTTGCGGCCGGCGGAAGCGGTCGAGCAAGTGGCTCGCAGCCCCATGTCGGAGAAGATGTGCAGCAGTAACAACGTAGTGCAGGCGCGGCGCGCTGTGGAGCAGCTGCGGGCAGAGGCCGGCATGGAGAGGATCAAGGTAAGCGCTGGGGGAGGAGCCTTAACCAGGCGGCCCGGGGGCGGAGCCCTAACCAGGCGGCCCGGGGGCAGGCTTCGAGGCATGGGCGCTGGCTCTCCAGGCGGCAGTCGCGCCGTTAAACATGTGCATGAGCAGTATAGACTTTTATACTGTGAGGATGTCTTTCGAGTAGCGTCTGGGTAAGGGATGGAGCGGTAAGCAGCTAAGGTGGACTACCTGACACCAGGAAACCACAGAGAGCAGGGCAAGGGAGGGGGGAAGCCTACAAGAAAGGGGGGCAATTTCAAATTTCAAGAAGGGTGAGTCAGACACTGCTAATCATGTTGCAGAGCTTAACGAGCCCCACCCTTTTCTGGTTGGGGTGCAGATCTCCATCGCAGCAGCACAGCTGGTGCAGTACTGTGAGGAACACGGCCGCAGCGACCCCCTCCTCACCGGCATCGCGGCCTCAGCCAACCCTTTCAAGGACAAAAAATCGTGTGTGCTGCTGTAGGCGTCGGCTGGCCCTCCCAGCACCGCCAGCAGGCGCTCACCACCCGCAACAGAGCTTCCACGCCAGATTCAGCCGGGTCTTATCGCCGGACCGAAGGCCGTGACATGTACGCCGTGAGGGTGCGAGCACCAGGCGTCAGTGCCGGTCCCCAAAGCCCTCAGCATAAAGGCAGCGGACATCACAGGTACACCATAAACATTTATTACACATTTTATGAATACATCATACAAACAGCTGCACGTCTGAAGTAGTGTTTTACTTTCAGCCAAATAATTTAATTTAAGATACAAACTCCACAGTGACCGCAGAAACGTAAGGGTCACCAGCCAGGGGTCACCAGCCTGTCACCGCATTAAAGCCTAACATGATTCTAGTGCAAACAATTTCATGACTGCATTAAAATGTAAAAGTATTTATGTAAATGAAAACGGATGTTCGTTAAGCAAGATGCTTTATGTTATTGGCAACAACTGATGATGTAACTGGGTTTGTGCGTGGTAAATTTGTTACATTTCTGAATTTTTCAGACCAATATGACTTGTGCAAAATAATGATGCAAATTTCATGATGTTTAAAAATGTGTAAACAGCTTTTTGTGGGGCTCAGAAGACACAATCAATAAAGCATCCTAAATCTAATCTAAATGCCCTACATTCGCACGATGGTTAGTGAATTTTCCATCATGTATAGCTGCACAGGATGCTTTTGTGGAATGGAAACTGGAATATATCGGTTTGAAACAATGACTGGAATATCTCAGAATCAGTTCAACCTTTTCACATTACTTTCAAACAGCATACCTTGAAATCATAATTTCAGTCATTTGGGTAAAAATCACATCTAAAGCATTAATGGACACTTTTAATAAAGAAAACGTACAAATGGACAAGATATCTGCATCCTTCCATCATTTTAAATGACCTATTGTTATACAATTAAAGCTTAATGCGAAGTCTAAGGCACTGTGCTGTCAGACACTCGTCAGGCTGAGGGTGGGGCTGCATGTCAGACACAGAGCAGTACCCCCCCCCCCCCCCCCCCAAACACACACACACACCTAAACCCTATAGAGCTGGTTTGGGATGAGCTGGATCGAAGAGTAAGAGTAAGGTAGCCAACTCATGCAGAGAACTTGTGGAAACTCCTTCAGGACTGCTGGAGAGGCGTTCAGGGCGGCTACATCGCGGGCTGGCGGAAAGAATGCCAAGAGTCTGCAATGCTGTCATCAAAGCAAAAGGGGGCTGTTTTGAAGCATCTAAGATTTTTAAGACATTGTGAGATGCTGAATGCTTTTCTTTTGGCAACTGCAATATTTTATTTAATTACCTCGAGGCCTTTTACTATAACATATTATCATAGCTAAACCAGAGATAAAAGCATTAGAAGCAGGTGTGTCCAGACTTTTGACTGTTACTGTAAATATATACAACTGCATAGAGAAAGCCGAAGCTACCACATACGCAGAGGATGTCCACAACATGGCGATGCAGACTCTGCAGGAGCAGAACCCCTGCTCTGGCCTGTAGAGGGCAGTACAGTTCAGCTTGCAATCCAGGTGAACACCTAGATGCTTCTAATCCTGTACCAATAGTCAAAAAATGTACTGTGAGTGAGCCAGTCCCTTAACAATTCACTTGGTGACAAAATCACACTACAGACTCAACCACACGTTTTTTATTAGTTTTTAAATGACCCGTGGCATTACTAAGACCAAATGAACGAAGAGTAAGAAAATCTATTTGCCTCTCATCTGCACATTTCCTCCGATTGATCTAGCCAGGCGCACACACAGCTGTCAGACGTAATTGTTTTCTCGTGCTGTACAGCTTGCTGTGAATGGGAGGGAGCAGTCGCGATAGGCCTGTACAATCTCCATCTCTGACTACAGAATGGACAGCAGTTCAACCAGAGGCCGTGATCTTCTCAGCTTCTCAGTATTTGCATTTCCATCACACAATCAGAAGTGTGAATATGGATCAATAATTTCTTTCAGCTTCTCATTTTCATATCTACACACTTACCGAGGCAGTGTGGTAGCTCACTGGGTAACACTGGGTAAGACACACTTACCAGGGCAGTGTGGTAGCTCACTGGGTAACACTGGGTAAGACACACTTACCAGGGCAGTGTGGTAGCTCACTGGGTAACACTGGGTAAGACACACTTACCAGGGCAGTGTGGTAG